CATATATTCTTTACCTATAATATTATTTATCATACGACTTATTATATAGTTCGATATCTCACCCCTTCTGTTTGAATGTTGCCCTCTGTTGGTAACATGTAGGTAATCAAGAAGGATAGTTGTACATCATTAGTTCAAGTTTGGTGTCATTTGCTCTGATACGTAGCACTCGGGGGGAAATGAACACATGTTTTGATTTTGTTATTTTAAGTTTAACTTTAAAGTTGTTATTGGAATATTTGATTTGTTTTATTGTCGTTTGGAATAGTAGACAGATGCTATGTCTTATTTGGAGATTTTATTATGAATCTGCTGCATGGTTAATGAAAGTCGATTTATGTTATGGAAACTATATTTATGCGTTGTGTTCATTTTGCTTCTGTTGCACCCCAAAATTTGCCCTCCTAATTGCACTTTTATGGCTTAGACTTTTTGCATTCATCTACATCATTCCAATGGGTCATTTGCATAGCACGCATTTTTCATAAAGTAGATCGCCTGAGGCTCAAAAGATCAACAGTTAGGAAGCTAGGGTTTACAGCTGATTTAAGGTGTATGTGTTGGATAAGTTTGATTATCTAGGGTCTTCTCGGTGTACAAAGTTTTGGAATTAAGGTTCAAGGCTCATTTCTGGACTTCTTCTCCACCAAGTTATTGGGCTAATATCTTCTGATGAACAACTGGTTGTAGGTCATTCTGGTCAAGAACTCTAGGACGTGACCTAGCATATGTGGACTTTGAAGCATGGCATCCTTTCCTATAAGTATGCTTGTCATTTGATTAGGATTAATGACTGTGACATGACATTCATCTACTCCTCAGTTAATTAATTTAGGTTTTGTTGAATCATGGTTCAAAGATGTTTTATCCGGATATTTCTCTGTGCATCTAAACGGGGAATCAAGATTGTGAGGTGTGGTTAACATGATTTCTTTCTCTTCAAGATATAATTGCTTTTATCCAGTCTTGGCAAGTGCTGGGGTTTTCATTTGTGCAACTAGGGTTTCACATCAAGGGAATTCTTCTGTGATTCAGACTTTATCATCCCTCTGTAAGATGTTCCTTATGACACTAATTTCAAGTTGAAATAACCGATCGCTAAGGGCTGGGGATTGAATTGTGAAGCGCGGTTCATGACCTTAGATATTAATTCATGGACTTCTACTTAACCAAGGCAATTATTGTCCTCATCATTGTCATTCGTTATCTGCGATGCGAGCAGACTTGGATTGAAGTAGGCTTCTCGTGGAAGAATTCATGCAAAGTAATTCAAGGTTCAAGGCATTCAAGGCAGGTTTTTGTTCAAAATGGCATACCTGGTTGATGGGCTTACAAGATCTTATGAGACCTTGAGATGCATAATCATGGGCCAATTTCAAAGATATGTGGATAAGATCTGTTGACTTTGATTAAAGTAAGCTTTGAAAAATAACTTTTGGACCAAGGTCTCCCTTGAACTTTCATCTAATATATGTTAGGCAATCGAGTTGCATTTGAAGAATGGTACGGTAAAGGAAAAGAAATATTAGTTCAAAAAAAGGGAAATTTCATTAGAAATCAGGGTTTTTATTCGTTGATAAATGTTCAAGTAATTAAAGATTAGGGGAAATAAGGTTTCATATTAATCTTGATCATATTCTTTCATTATCATTTACGTTCATCTTTGATGATTTAAGGTCATCAATTAGGGAAGGACTTTGTCAAGATAAGAGACTTATGGATTGAATCGTGGAATATGAGGCATGAAACAAAAGGCCTGTTGTTGTCCAGAAGTTCACTGACTTCTCAGCAGCCGATTGTTGGCCTGTTTTCTTAATGCATTGCATCATTACATTGCATCATTACATTGCATCTACTAAAACGCGTAGCATTTCCATTGCATAGAGCATCACGCTAAAAAAAAAAGAATTTCAAACATGCATGAGTATAAGCCAATTGTGTCCTCCTGTGGTAACAATATTGTTATGTGCTCAGATTTGATTCATCTCTATAACAAGCCTAGGATAATTCTATTATGTTTCCCCAGCAAAGTTTATTTTGATTCACCACCAGTCAGGGTCTTTGGTATTTCTCCATTTCCCCAATAAGTTTGTGGTTTGCACTTGCCTTTGCAAGCCTTCAGTTATTTTACCCGTGTTTGCTTTGCCGTTAGAGTATGAGTAAGAGTCGGTGTATAACCTTTCTTGCTTCTCGAGTGTTTGAGTATCCATAATTGGTGTGTGGTAATTCAGACAATTACCACTCTCGAAGAATTAACACCCCGCCTCTGGCCTGAGGGATTTGTAGTCCTTGCGTATTTGCAAATTATTGAAAGCCCAATGTGTTTTGGCAATCTTTGTTAGAGTCTGCTTTGACCAATCTCTTTCTCTTGTAATGTTCGCCTTCTATCAGTGCTCTTTGAAGGCCCTGTTTAGTCGGTTCCTTGTTTTGGTTTATCCGCGTTAGTCGGGTCCTCCTTTCGTTAGCCTGGCTAACTTTTTATAATTAAGAGTCTTTCAATGTCTCTTCAAAGTTCAGTTGTCTGGCGCCCTTGTTTAGGCGAATGCGTCCTTTTTTTTGGGCTTTTCTCGGTTAGTCTCGTTCCTATGTTCGCTAGCAATTCTGAACATTTGTTTCTTGATGATCAATTTCGCTCTTGTATATCTAACTCTGACCAGATATGCATACCTTTATCATTTGTTGAGAGTCCCCTTCGGCTGGTCTCTTTGCAGTTGTAAGTTCGCCTTCGACCGGCGTTCTTTTCTTAGGAATCTACCTTCGGCATAGTATTCCTAGATGAAGATTCCCCTTCGGCTGGTTTCTTTATCCTAAAGTCCACCTTCGGCTGGCATCCTTTAAAATCCACCTTCGGCTGGTACCATTTGTTGAGAGTCCCCTTCGGCTGGTCTCTTTGTAGTTGTAAGTCCGCCTTCGACCGGCGTTCTCTTATTAGGAATCTACCTTCGGTATAGTATTCCTAGATGAAGATTCCCCTTCGGCTGGTTTCTTTATCCTAAAGTCCACCTTTGACTGGCATCCTTTAAAATCCACCTTCGGTTGGTATCATTTGTTGAGAGTCCCCTTCGGCTGGTCTCTTTGCAGTTGTTAGTTCGCCTTCGACCGACGTTCTTTTCTTAGGAATCTACCTTCGGCATAGTATTCCTAGATGAAGATTCCCCTTCGGCTGGTTTCTTTATCCTAAAGTCCACCTTCGGCTGGCATCCCTTAAAATCCCGCTTCGGCTGGTACCTTTCAAAATCCTGGTTCGGCTGGTACCCTTTGTTAAAATCCCGCTTCGGTTGGTGTCATTTCTTACAAAACCCCGCTTCGACTGGTATCATTTAAAATCCATCGTCGACTGGTATCATTTGTCAGGAGTCCCATTCGTTTGGTCTCTTCCCTCAGTAAGTTCACCTTCGATTGGTGTTTTCTTTGTAAGAGCTTTCTTCGGTCTGTCTCTTTCTTACGTATCCGATACCGACCACGGATATGTATTTTTGATACTTGCTTTATATGTCTGCTACCAACCCCAGACATATGTTCTTGTATCTTTGTTATCTTTCTTACGTGTCTGATACCGACCACGGATATGTATCTTTGATATCTCTTTTGTGCGTATATGATACTGACCACGAATATGTATCTTTGATATCTCTTTTGTGCGTATCTGATACCGACCACGGATATGTATCTTTGATATCTCTTTCTTACGTATCCGATACCGACCACGGATATGTATTTTTGATACTTGCTTTATATGTCTGCTACCAACCCCAGACATATGTTCTTGTATCTTTGTTATCTTTCTTACGTGTCCGATACCGACCACAGATATGTATCTTTGTTATCTTTCTTACATGTCTGATACCGACCACAGATATGTATCCTTGATATCTCTTTCTTACGTATCCAATACCGACCACAAATATGTATCTTTTCTATCTCTTTCTTACGTATCCGATACCGACCACGGATATGTATCTTTTCTATATCTTTTGTGCGTATCCGATGCCGACCACGGATATGTATCTTTTCTATCCCTTTCTTACGTGTCCGATACCGACCACGGATATGTATTTTTGATGTCTCTTTCTTGTATGTCCGCTACCAACCCCGGATGTGTGTCTCTGATACTTCTTTTCGTATGTCTGCTACAGACTTCAGGCATATATCTTTTGATATCTTTCTTACAGGTGTTTGTTACTAAATCCCAACAGAAGTTCCTCGATAACCAAGTTATCCTTCGGTGTGTCAAACTCTGGTTAAACATACATCTAACCCCGATAACCCCTTTTAACCTAGAAAGCAAAAAAATATACAGAAAATACAGAAAAAACCAAAGATATAATAATACCTGACTGGCTTCGGAGCGCAAATTTTCGGGTTCTTTTAGTATGTAATCTTCTTCCACCCTGAAAGTTCGAAAGGCTGATGCCAATCTCACCTTCAGGATTGAAGGCGATTAAATAGGAGCAGTTGTTGCACCCCAAAATTTTCCCTCCTAATTGCACTTTTATGGCTTAGACTTTTTGCATTCATCTACATCATTCCAATGGGTCATTTGCATAGCACGCATTTTTCATAAAGTTGATCGCCTGAGGCTCAAAAGATCAACAGTTAGGAAGCTAGGGTTTACAACTGATTTAAGGTGTATGTGTTGGATAAGTTTGATTATCTAGGGTCTTCTCGGCGTACAAAGTTTTGGAATTAAGGTTCAAGGCTCATTTATGGACTTCTTCTCCACCAAGTTACTGGGCTAATATCTTCTGATGAACAACTGGTTGTAGGTCATTCTGGTCAAGAACTCTAGGACGTGACCTAGCATATGTGGACTTTGAAGCATGGCATCCTTTCCTATAAGTATGCTTGTCATTTGATTAGGATTAATGACTGTGACATGACATTCATCTACTCCTCAGTTAATCAATTTAGGTTTTGTTGAATCATGGTTCAAAGATGTTTTATCCGGATATTTCTCTACGCATCTAAACGGGGAATCAAGATTGTGAGGTGTGGTTAACATGATTTCTTTCTCTTCAAGATATAATTGCTTTTATCCAGTCTTGGCAAGTGCTGGGGTTTTCATTTGTGCAACTAGGGTTTCACGTCAAGGGAATTCTTCTGTGATTCAGACTTTATCATCCCTCTGTAAGATGTTCCTTATGACACTATATTCAAGTTGAAATAACCGATCGCTAAGGGTTGGGGATTGAATTGTGAAGCGCGGTTCATGGCCTTAGATATGAATTCGTGGACTTCTCCTTAACCAAGGCAAGTATTGTCCTCATCATTGTCATTCGTTATCTGCGATGCGAGCAGACTTGGATTGAAGTAGGCTTCTCGTGGAAGAATTCATGCAAAGTAATTCAAGGTTCAAGGCATTCAAGGCAGGGTTTTGTTCAAAATGGCATACCTGGTTGATGGGCTTACAACATCTTATGAGACCTTGAGATGCATAATCATGGGCCAATTTCAAAGATATGTGGATAAGATCTATTGACTTCGATTAAAGTAAGCTTTGAAAAATAACTTTTGGACCAAGGTCTCCCTTGAACTTTCATCTAATATATGTTAGGCAATCGAGTTGCATTTGAAGAATGGTACGGTAAAGGAAAAGAAATATTAGTTCAAAAAAAAGGGAAATTTCATTAGAAATCAGGGTTTTTATTCGTTGATAAATGTTCAAGTAATTGAAGATTAGGGGAAATAAGGTTTCATATTAATCTTGATCATATTCTTTCATTATCACTTACGTTCATCTTTGATGATTTAAGGTCGTCAATTAGGGAAGGACTTTGTCAAGATAAGAGACTTATGGATTGAATCGTGGAATATGAGGCATGATACAAAAGGCAAGGTTGTGAACTTTCTTTTAAAGATCAAGATTTTATTGTCTATTCAAATTACTTACCATGCAAGTTGATTTAGATTCAAGATTGAAGTTAGGAGTTCATTGAGAATGCAAGTGTGATATGGATTTGAAGTTTGATTTGAATTCAAGATGTTCGAAAGTGTTTGGTTGGATTAAAGTCGGCAAAGAGCCGTAAGTATTGGTCATATGAGTTTCTTGGAAGGTAAAGTATAGACTGCAAGGTCTTATTTCAAGTCGGAGTTCATCCATATTACAAAGATGTTCATCGTTATTCCAGATTCAAGTTCACAATGCGTTCAAACATTTATTCAAACCCTTTCATTCATGGTTCAAGAAAATACTATCCAACAACCATAGTTTCATCCAAATAGTCATTCAAGAATTAATTCAAGATTAAAGTCTCTTATGATTACCTTGAAAATATTTTGAATTCGTACCATGATTATTTAAATTCATATAAAGGTATTTAAAGGAAATATTTGAGAAAAAGAACTTGGAACTTCAAAATCAGTTTCGAGGAGAAAGGTACATTGATGAAATTATCATTGAATTCTCAAAATTACATTGCAAGTTTAACTAATTCCATGCCACATTGCAATACAAGATGGCATTCAAAATATTTTCATTACAATTTTACCATCATGTTACAAAAGAAATTATAAAAATCCCACAGTTTGACCTTACCTCTTCACCATAATCTTCACATTACTTCAACATAAATCCTACTGGCCACTTGGAACTCAACCTGTAAAATCGCATCAAAACAATCCACAATCAGAACCAAAACTAACAAGCCAATGACATAACCTTCAGCTTGCCAACTAACTATTCTTAACAGATTTTCTAACTTCTATTTTTCTCTCTAACAATTAAACTACTAACTGCAAACAAAATTAACAGAATTTTTTTAACTGCATCCTAACAAATTCCCAACAACACTGTAACTAACTTTCACAAACTTAAAAAATTTCCTCCAACCTCCTAACTAAATCTAACCGCTTCTAAAAAAAATGCAACAAAATACTTAGCCTTCAAACTGTTTTTTTTCTAACCGAATTCTAAAGCTCATAAACTCCTAACAAACTCTACCCAAATCAATGGTTCGGATTGATTCACACATAACCATTTCCATCTCCCTCAACTACCTATATAATCCAAACTCCCTCCAAGTTTCAGGGGACGACGTTACTCTCTCTTTTCCAGTTTCAAAACTTCATCATTGTGTCAGCTTCAAAACAACTTCTTCCCTCTCCATCATTCACGCTCAATTTTTCTGAACTCTCATAATCTTCAATTTCCCCTCTCTGAGCCTTATCACCTTCACAACCTTCATTCATCTTCCTCCTTCACCACCAATCTTGAAATCTGTCACCGTTATCACCACCTCACCATCATCACCATTGAAACGCTTCAATCGTCACCATCTTCTGCAATATCACGCGACCTTCATCAAACGTCAATTTCACTCTTTATACCATCGTGCAACTTCATCAACCCCACTGCATCTTCAACCTCCATCATTTTCTTCCTCGCACGACAATCATTCATGAATTACACAGAGATAATATTATCCATACAAGAAAAACTCACCAGAAACCTCTGAATCTTTCTCTCTCGAGGGACCATTCTTCAATCTTCATGAACTGTTAACAAACGTCACCCTCACCTCCCTGATTTCTCTCGGAGAATCCACAACCACAACCATAACAATCTTCATCGCCTCTACAATTCTTGAATATCATCCCAGTGATCTGCCTCTTCAAGGATACTTATCCTTGCCTCAATCATCAAGAAGCACTCGTAGCACAACTGTTTCTGCAATCGTCAACCTTCAGCACAACTGTTTCTGCAACGATATCACGCGCATCCCACTCAACATCTTCGTGTTTCTGCAAGGACGTGCACGAACCACCTCGTCAACGTGATTCTCATAACAATAGCAATGCGGGGATTGAAGTAGAAAGAGACGCAGAGATTGAATCAAAGATGATAAGAGAGGAGGCACAATACTTGTTCACGACGATGCTGATTAAAGAAGGAGATCGAGATCGAACAAAAGTGTGAGGTTCGCCGGAGGCCGGCGGAGAAGCGAAATGGGAAGCTGAGAGTTGAAGCAAATCGGAGCTTGCCGAAAATTTTTATTTCACCGTCATTCCGGAGCGATAAGTATTCCTATGAAGCCTTCATGTCACAATCCTTTAGCATCTTCTTGCACGATTTAGAATCAATTGAAGGATGCACGCATATTCCTCTTGATTCTTGCTGAATTTTGTTTCCCTTAAACTTAGGATTTTTGGCTCCCAATGTACTGATCCTGAAATACGAGAAGCTTCCGTGAGAAATTGGTGCAAGAGTCATTATCGGTGAATGAAATAATGTAGGGTTTCTATTCAACCTTTGGTGATTAGGGGGAGGTTTAAGGCGGCGGTGGCGACGAAGATTCTCGCCGGAAGTCGTAGTAAGATAAGAGAGGAAGAGTTTCAAGGTGCTGAAATCAGCTAAACGCACCGTTCTAATTGGGTCTCAAATATTCTCTCTTTCCTTAATCTTCATTTTATTATGCTAATAATGATTTATTGCTAATTATTGAAAGTGTTTAAGGAAATTGGACCGAAAGTGGCATCTGGACCGGAATACTTTGGGCTGAATAGGTTTTTTGGAAATCAATTGTTGCCAATAAAAAAACTGTTTCATGGGCCCTTTTGCATGGGCCTAACGCCCAACTTTTTGGTGGCTATACAACACTATTATCTACACTGCACCCCCTGAATTCAGCTTGTACCCCCTGATTCTTCTAATTTTTCTTTTTCATTATTTTAGTTTTTCTTCTAGTTTATTTTTTTTCTCTCAATTGATAATAAAATGATACAAAACAATAGAATATTTTAGAATTCTTTGGAATTTCCTTTTTTAGAATTTCAATTAGAGTTTTTTACTATTTTATTCTTCATACTTGGTAATCATTTTATTGCCATTTTTTAGTCAAGATTTTTGTGATAGCATCGACATAACTCTTGCAATGTGGAATGCTCGGGGTGAATTCATCAATCACTCGCTCAATGAAACTTTGATAGAATTCTCTTACTGCTTGCACAATTTTGAAGAGGCAACGGACCTTCTCCGTTCGGTATCGTCACAACTCTATTTTATTCTTCATTTCCGTACTTTATCGCAAATCATACGCGTCCTAACATTAGGTAGAATTCACTCAAAATTATAACTTTAGGTCTAACGATACATAATAACATTAGGTTTAGAAGTAAGCTAGTCTCCTTTTGACTTTTCTTTCCCTTTCGCATAGGCATCTAAAACTAAAACTTCTTTTTTTTCTTTCAAAATTCAAAGCATTTTAAAACTATTGATGAGAATCATGCTTTTGCTTAATACGGGAAATGATAAGCGGGTCTCTTCTCGATCTTATTGTTCTTCATCTCAAGCATAGGTGTGGTTCAATTCTCAAAGACTCCTTTCGCGACTAAGTAGAAAAATGAATGATATCTCTCTCTTGAGGTCAATTAGCCATTACCTACAAGAAAAAACACCAACAAATACAAAAATCCTTTTGCCTTCGGGCCTTTCTTTCAAAACTTTTCAAAAGAACAAATTAATTCACTTCTGTGCTGACGCGTAAATCTCCAAAGGTCGAGTTGCGGCAGAAGGCGAAATTAATATCATTCATTACAAAAACAAACAAATTCAAAATTTTGTGCGTCCAGGCACATTTCTTTCCAAACTTTTCAAGAGAGCATGTTAATTCACTTCTGTGCTGACGCGTAAATCTCCAAAGGTCGAGTTGCGGCAGAAGGCGAAATTAATATTGTTCAGTAAAAAAAATACAAATAAACAAAAACATATAAGCCGAACTACAGCTGCTCTGATTCCTTAAAAGGGATACGTAGGCATCAGGGTAGGGCCCGAACGAGCACAACATTTTATTTTCCCTACATTCTTTTCTCCTTTCTTTTGCATGCATTCCTCCAGTAGTATAGTAAACAGTAAGCATAGATTAAACACACCCATAAGATAGATAACAAGAGTGGATACCGTAGAGTACTACGGGCGTGTGGGGTGCTAATACCTTCCCCTCGCGTAACAGACTCCCTTACCTGATCTCTCGGTCGCAAGACCGTGACTTCTCCCTTCTCAGGTTTTCTCGATGTTTACCTTTCCCTACATGTGGGATAAAAGACGTTCGATGGCGACTTCATTGTTTTGATGATTTTCAGCCGGTTGTTTCAGCTGGCGACTTCACTGGGGACAAGTCGACCAAATGCTGGTCCATCCCGGAGTCGCTCCTAGCTCTTGCTTTCTTTTCTTTGAGTGTTTATTTTTATGCTTTCAGTTTACTCATTTGTACATTTTTGCCTGAGCATAAGTTTGCATTACATTTTATTGCTTTCCCTATTTGTTATCTATTATGCTGGACTCTGTTTTCCATGTTGGGTAGGGATGTCACTATTGAGGTAAAAGGCCCAGTACCCAGGCCAGAGTGCACTAGGACACTAGGAATAGAGTGGGGGAATGACGGCTATAGGACGTGGTCCGATTAGTGCAGTCTTGTCATATACCACGCTCGGATGAGGCTCAAATGAATTACTATCGGCACCCACGTCTGTGGGTAAGCCCATAGTGCTTTCAGGCGGACCCGTGATTTTCGAGTTACCATTGTCTTACCCTGACCTAGTCTTCACCCGTGAGTGGGGAGGGATTTGTCATTACAGGTTCAGTTGGTGCTATGTTCAAATGGTTACTCATGCTCAGATGGAGACTGTGATCAGATGGTGGTTAATGGTTCTAATGATCATGTTATGGACTTCTGTCAATGACTTATACATATGGTGTTCTGTTGGTGACTATTTGGTTCTCAGATTTATTTTCTGAGCTCCTGACTTGCTTACTTGGAAGTTCATTCAAGCCTTTGATCTTAGCATTCCCAGCATACTCAGAAATGCTCAAACAGTACCTGGTGTTCCTGAAGCCTTGATCTCATGCTACTTAGATCTACATAGTACTCGGATTTTATATGTGCGGAAGCTATGTTGGACCTTTGATTTGATGATACTCACATGGTTCAGAAGCAGTGCATCAATCATATTCAGAAATGATGGAACCTTGAACCCATTTGATCTCATGCCTTTGCATACAAAACATGGTTGAACACATACTTAACATACATGTTCTGTGATTTCCAAGGAATCTTATTTGTGATCCTAGTGCCAAACTTTTCTATCCTTACTTACATAAAATAAAAAACAAAGCACGTAAATTCGTTGGAAATTACGGAACATGACATGGCATCCGTTCATGCATCCCATGTATATTCATGCATCCATAACAAGTACTCAAGGATTGGGGATTCTTATTCAGACATGGTTCTCCTCAGAGGTTCAGCTTGATTCTTACTACCACATGCTCAGGGATCAGTTAGGGAATAACTCCATATGGTATACCTACAAGCTTTGGCCTGTAGTCAAAAATATCTTCAAGCAGGAAGATAATTGTTTGAAAACTCGGATGAGCCAGGTCATGAAAGCTCTGATGACGATGTCAACAATATTGCACCTACTATCACAATAAAGGTTCTCTCTCCTCCTCATCTTTTGGGGGAACACTTTCAATCATGGAGTGTTACGCAGTCCTGAGTTCTTGGAACATCTTATCAGGAGATGGTTCCCATTTACTATGTGATCTTATATCAGTGCTTCGTTCTTTTTTACCAACGTCAGATGTGGTTGCCACACCAGGGCATCAGACTTTTAATCAGGGGCATCCTCCATAACTTTGTGCACTGATTTGTTCAACAACAACCATTCTTTATTCCCCAAGTGAATTCATAGGGAAAGCTTTTAAGCCAAGACACAAGAACCCTGATGAGCATGCTAATGCGAGCCCAATGCATGACATCCTAGTCTTCCCAGTTCTTCCCAGCTCTGATCTTTGAGGTCTTCCTCCCACAAACATCTCTTCTGATTATGATATGTATGCTAGATACATCCCCTATTCTGGGATACCCGGTTTTGATATTGAAGACTACAAAGGGGTTGAAATATAAAGCCCAACACCTGTTTAGCGTCTCTTCCAAAGGTCCAATTCCTCTTTGGCTAACTGCCACACTCTTTTTCACCAGGGGGATGTCTCTTTTATTCTGATAGAAGACAAACTATATTTTTGTGTGGCGTAGTATGCCTGATGATGCAGCACATATCATTTCGCTTGGAAAATTATTCATTTGTTCTCCTGAAAGAATCTAGACGCATATTATACTGGGGCACCTGGCCAATCGATTGAAGATGGTACGTCATCCAGAGACAAGACCCAAGACAAGATCAATCCAGAGACTGTAATGTCCGAATCATATCAGAGGGAGAATTTTCTCACTCACCTCATGCATCTTGATGCATCCATAGAAGGTACTCAGAAGGTACTCGGAATGGGGAATCCTTATTCGGATTCAGTATTCTCTTTTCAGAATTGCCAATCTTGACTTCTCGCTGCTTCGTGATCAGATTCAATTTATGAAACAACTTTGTGAGGAATTGGGTGAGATAAAAAGAATCAGATGGGGTCGTTTATCATGCACATGCCAAAAATGACCTGTAGTCAGAAATCCTCAAAGAAAAAATAGCCAGTGGAAGACTTAGTTGAGTCGGGTATGGAAATTTTGAAGACAATGTCGGTAAAGAAAAGTGATCTTATATACGTTGTTGCAACAGGAGTTGTCATTCATCCCCAGCATATGGGACTTTTTTTTCAAATCATGAGATACTTTGTGGGTCTCACCCAGAGCTTCGTGTTCTCGGATTTTCTTGCTAGCAGCTAGTTTCTGGTCTCCAAGTGAACCCATGGGGTAAAACTTACCAGCAGAGACAGAGAAAGCTTGAGAAACAGGTTGATACAATCTTTATACCTTGTATTCGGTTACTTCCTCGTGGTGTTGGAAGCTCAGTTGATTAAGCTTCGCGCTTTGAGCCATCCTCCAACAAATTTCTCTCCTGCTTTTGATACAAATGCTTGATGTGTCTCCCGTTCTGGGGCATTTAGTCAAGATATTGAATACTGTAAGGGGTTGAAGTATGAAATTTGGTACTTGTTCTTTTCCAAGGTTCAGTCCACGTTTGGGAAAACCATTTCAGACTCTTTTTCCTCAGCTGATTGCTTCTTATGTGTAAGTATAAGATGGGGGTGATGCTTCTATGATGAAGAAGTATAAGACGTCGAGTTCTTGGATATCTGCTGTTGTGTAGAAGAAAAATACCTCAAAGGTCGAATGCTATATTCAGAGTTCAGTTTCTTCTGTGTAGTAGAAGATTCTATGTTATAGTTTCTGAATTTTTGCTTCCGTGTAGTAGAAGACAGAGACTCTTTTGTGAAGCATGGGATTCTCCATAATTCAGTTGCTAAAGCTTCTCTCTTGTGAAGTAGGATATGAAGTTTACTTTCTTCTGTGTAGTAGAAGATTCTTTTTTACAGTTTCTGATTTTTGCCTCCGTACAGTAGGAAACTTCTCTCTTGTGAATTAAGAGATGAAGTTTACTTTCTTCTGTGTAGTAGAAGATTCTTTGTTACAGTTTCTGAATTTTTCTTCTGTGTAGTAGAAGATAGAGACTCTTTTGTGTAGTGGGAGACACTCCGGAATTCAGCGGCTGGATTTCTCTTCTGTGTGATAGAAGATGGTTGGCATTTCTTCTCTATGATAGAAGATACTTTGTGATGCAATTTATGCAAGTTCACTTGATAAGGTCCTCATCACACATGGTGAAGGAACTTGATGTGATTACCATACTGGGGCACTAGGCCATTCTATCAAAGATTGTCGGGCTTTCAAAGAAAATATGCAAGACCTTCCAGATGCAAAGGCTATTAATTTCAGGCTAGCCAGTCAGATTTGGAGTCTATGTTGACTCAGTAGATATCAAGATTGGCGGATCATCGTCTGAAGCAACAAGTCCATACGAAGACTAGTCTCCTCAACATGGCATTTTCAAATTACATTTGCATTCTCATTCGTAATCTTTCTTGTCTTGGTTCAGTACTTTCTTATATGCGAAACTTTCTTATTGTTGAATATTAATTATAATGCATTGAGTATGTTTGTTTTGAATTAGTCCATTCATATTCACTCATTAATGTTTTCCTTTTACTTTTTGATACTTAACTCTTGTTAAATAAAGCAAAAAACCTCTGGAGGGAGGATGATGAGTAATATACCAAAAATTTCATACGGTGTGCTTTTGAGTAGGCCCTGCTGACGATGTACATGCCTTGTTTCAAATTCCCAAACACCGGAGATATAAGGGAGATAGACCCTCGTCAACCCCTTTGAGCCTTGAAGTAGGAGTTTCTTTTATTTTCAGAAAAAACCCTCGCATTTAACCCGGGGCAGGGTAGATTTCAGTTAATCTGATTGGGTGTTCAAAACTCATTAAGAGTGCGCATCAAAGGATACAACAATGGCCATCCTTCAGAAGGTTGAGAGAGAACAAAACCACAATGGCTAAACTCTCATATATCAGCAGTGTGCATCAATGATAATAATATCCCAATAGATATCTCTCGCACATCGAAAGGTCAAAAGGTGACGATACCATAATGGCTATTTCCCGTCAACCAAACAGCAAGGCAGTCACACCTTTTTCAAAAAATCAAATAATGACTCAAAATCACACGACTGGTTCAAACTAAAAGAAATAGTAAAAAAAAGAGACAAAAAAAGCCCCGCTAAGCTGAAACTTGAAAAGACAAGTCGCTTAGGCAAAAGTCAGGGCATCCCGCTGGACTTCAAAGTCAAAATTAAATGGAATTTGTCCAGGCAAAAGATAGGGAATACAAAAAGAAAGCGAAAAAGCGAAAAGCGAAAAACGGATCACCAAATAGAAATCCTTAACAAAGAATAAAGTCGTGTGATCGAAAACCAAGAATGAAAGAGGTGAGTGATTGCCATATCCTCCTTAACCATGGTAAACTCTTTTGAGGGATGAGTGCTCGTATTAGTCTAACTGAATTTAGGATTGGAGAACATCATGGAGAATGGGTGGGCACCAAATATTTTGAGCCTTAAATCGGTTTTTTCTAAAACCATGAACCAGGCCACGTTACAACCCTGAAAAGTCCTAACTGAAGCGAGGGTTAATTTGAAGGCACACTGTAACAAGAAATACGGTAATCTGACTCCTAGGGAGGCTTGCAAAAACTTTTGAGTTGGTATCAC